GATCTTCTCTGACATGGTCACCTAATGCTCAGGTTGAGAACCAAGCCCCTACCAACAAAAAAAATGGTAGGATTAATATAATTTTTTGGGTCTTAAGGATCAACAGTCCTCTCTGAAAATAGACTATATTAAACTAGTTCAAATTTCTTTGACTCCCATTCCATTTGTTTCTAATCTTTCTTGGGATTGCAAGAGATTCCTGGACCAAACCAGTTTTTGTGCCGTTGACATTTCATTATATTGAGATTCATTTTACTGCAGAATAAAGGAAGGACTGCTGTTTCTTATTGCAACATCCACTCTATAACTCATTTTTAATGGAGGCAGAGTGGCAGACAACCCTGAGTTGCTGCATGCTGTCAAATAATGACTTAATTTTCAGAAACATTCTGAAGGCTTCTCAGCCAACAGGATGAAGTATGTAGAGTGAACACATACAGCCAAATAGAGCAAGCCTTTTCAGCATAATTTAGTTATGCCTCATTCCCAAGGGTTCTGTGCTGATGGCTTGTTGAGTCTCTTTTAAATTTTTGACTTGGTTGTTCATTCATCATTGCATTGTATATTCTGTTGCACACTTTTATTTTTGGAGACTATGGAAGTTTCTACAAAAATCTGTAAAAACAGTATTGCTTGGTGTGCCACTCTTAGATCTGTGAGTGCATTTTGGTATAAGTATGCTTGATGCACTACGTAGTACATTTAGCTGTAGAGGCAGTTTTGAACTTGTTGATTTGACTTTTATGCTTTAACGCTTTATGTATAAAATGAAGTTGTTTTCTGGAGCAAATGTGTATGCACAGTTCTTTTATTCTTTGTATCACTCAGTACTGATGATGTATATATGTGTGTGTGTGTATATGTGTGTGTGTGTAAGTGTAAATGTTGGCAGCAGACAGAAAATTTTGTGTTTATCACACGGGCAGCAGCCTGCCTGTCTGTAAAAATGGCACTTTTGTTTGTTTTTGGCAGCCAGGAAGGGAAAAGAAGATAAATCTGCAGGTGAACCTTTTCCTGATTATGTCCAAGGTTAAGTTTAAGTGTAAACAACATAGATTTAAAAGAAAGAGTTTATTCAAAAGTAAACTGATAGATTTTAATTCATGCAGTAAAGTATTTTGTGCCACAATGTTCTTCTGCCATGGAGGAGGTAATTAATTGAAAAAATTACATGGAGATCCAACACATAGAGACAGCCTATTGTCCTCATCTTGTTTTGCATCAGAATATCTGTACCTTCAGGGTGAATCGTTGCTCTGCGGCCAAGGGAACCTCAAGCTGAAACTATAGTTCTTGGCTGCAAAACTCTGGATGATCACAAGATGAAAAGATACATATGTCAATTTTTCAGAGTTCTGGTGACCTAGAGATTTGTTTTAAATCCCCCTTTTTGCAATGTGCAAAACAGTTTCATTTCATCTGATGAAACATGGAACTGAATAACAGAATATAACAGAATATAACAGAATAATTGAGTTGGAAGGGACCTTGGAGGTCTTCTAGTCCAACTCCCTGCTCAAGCAGGAAACCCTATACCATTTCAGATAAACGATTGTCCGATCTTTTCTTTAAAACCCTCCAGAATTGGAGCACCTACAACTTCTAGAGCAAGCTGTTGCACTAATTAATTATTTTAACTATCTGGAAAGTTCTAGGTTCATTTTCTTCTTGAGTAGTTGGAAAATTTGTTGGAAAACTGGAAAAATGGTTTTTTGCTCCTCCTTAAATTCCATTTTTTAGCATCCATTGGGTCAAATGTTTTGGCAGGATGTATAGTATAGTGGGAGAAGCCAAACAGGATTCTACAAAGACATATAATAACACCCATGTGTGTATATTGACAGATGGCTTTTCAGAGAATTGCAGTTACTGTACATGTTTGTAAGGAACCAGATCCTTAGTGACCTTTCTATGCGAGGCAGGTTTGCTGAAAAAAAATTACTGTTCTCAGACTATTTCCTGATCAAAAGGTATTATTTACTTTGCTGTCTGAGAAGTTGAGACTTGTTTAGATAAATTATTGTGATTAAACTTACCAAACGTACCAAATAAAACATCACATATACCTCAAGGTACTATAATTATCTCCTTAACAAATATAGCAATAGCACTTAGACTTATATATCGCTTCACAGTGCTTTACAGCCCTCTCTAAGCAGTTTACAGAGTCAGCATATTGCCCCCAACATTTTACCTTGAAAGGATGGAAGGCTGAGTCAACCTTGAGCCTGTGAGAATTGAACTGCTGGCAGCCAGCAGTCAGCAGAAGTAGCCTGCAGTACTGCATTCTAACCTCTGCTCTACCACGGCTCTACAAATATACAGTATTTGTATGTTTTACCTGTGGGAGTGTAATGGTATGTGGGAATGACCTTGGCAGATGGTTGGGGGGGGGAATGCGATCAGAGAATTATCGATAAAAGTGTGTATCCTATAGAGAAAGAAACTCAGAAAGGAATCTTCCTAATGTCTCAGGGAGATTTGCAAGATTCTGTCAATGTAGCCTTGCAATAAAGTATAATTAAGTCATTTTGTCAGGTTTTCCGTCTGGGAAGGGCTGACAGGAAGTACATTTATCAAAATACTATTCCATATGTTTACATTTCTGGATAAGTAAGAATATTTCTATTATGCTCGATAGCCACAGTTTGTCCTTTTAAATTATTTATTTAAAACTATTTTTGTTTGCCTAATGTCTGAAGACAGTACAAGGACCGTTTCATTCTGTTTGGCAGATACTCACCAATTCACCCCCTGTGCTCCTATGATAGGCTCACCTGAATAGAACTGAACTGTGATTTATGCACTTAATCCACTTTTCTGGGTTTATATCCTGTACCATATAAATAGGTTGATGCAACATACTAGGTTGAAATGTAGTTGGCTAGTTTGTGCAAAACTAGTCATGGGTTCACCCTAATGTGCAAATTCTCTCTTCCTGAAGAAGTACAATACCATGAGTCTACTATAGCTTATGGCATATATTTATCAAATTCTTGTAGGCTCCTAATTTGAAAAAAAAGTTAGGGTGATGGGGCATTGTGGTATATAAATCCACCCACATGTAGATCTAGTATGTATTTACATCCCACAATTTATGTTCATTGATCACTACTTAACAGGAAAGATTTTTTTTATGGATGTGTATTTTTTCTCTATTGCTCCAAGGAAATCGTGTAGAGTACTAAGTTTTAGAGAAGTCAAGGGAAAAAAGAAAATGTATCTCTCTAACATTCTAAAGCACTTCAAAGCCGTAATTTAAAAGAAAAATACTTACGGAAAGATGGGAATCCTTTGTTTCAGAGAGTTTCTTCAACGTATATTAACAATATGCTAGACAAGTGAATATGAATGTATGGAATTCAAATGGTATATGCTTGAACAGACCTATATTGTTCACTAGTTTGTCCAAACCTACAGCTTATCGATGGAAATAAGTATGGGCTTTTAAAGCAGATTTTGAAAAAGCATGACAGACAAGAGTTTGGATTGCTTAGACTAGAGTGCTTTATTTTGTTCTCGGTCACTGCCATGCCAGATGTGGAATACAAGCTTCAAGGCTGCAAACCATCTTTCAGTCAATTACCAAGATTTAAGATATGCTATACTATGCCAGATTGTCACAGGCAAGTCTCTTTTTCTGCCCTTACAGCAGTGGTTCTCAACCTTTTTAATGCCGCGACCCCCAACCGGTCGTAAGTCAAGGACTATTCAACTGGTCGTAAGTCGAGGACTACTCAACTGGTGCAGCACCGTTTGCAGAATGGGACTTTTGGCGGGCTCAGCAGGGCAGAGACAGCCTGGACAATTCCTATTGGCTTTTGAAAGCCAATAGAATTAGACTCTATTTAAGAGAGTCTATTCTATTGGCTTTCAAAAGCCAATAGAATAAAAGGGAGTAGCACGGCTAAGGAAAAGGGGGAAAAAATGGCAGACTGCATTGTTTGGCGACCCCCATGAAATGGTCGCCAAACAACCACTGCCCTACGGTGAAATTAAGAACTTCTAGAAAGAAGGAAAGAAACATTCCCTAGCTTATCCTGTACACACATACACACAAAACTATTCAGTTCAGAAGTTACAAGCAACACTATAAGTTGCTGTTCCAGAATAATTTCTGGGAGAAATGAGGGCAAATCCAAGCATATACTGGTTTCCAAGCATTCTGTCTTGCATCCCTAATTATAAAGTACAAATTGGAGACTATTTGCTAATATTGCCATACCAAGATCCCCCTGTGTTTCTGATCATTAGTAAACAAAGTGTTTATGATCTTTCTCTTCAATATAGTGGTATTTGCCTTAATAATAATTTTGCATTTTGAAAAAAATAGTTTTCAAAAATTAAGAGAAAGTTTGTGCCCAATTTATATGAATAGTAAAATGAAATATAGTTGAGAATTCAGACTGTGCACATGGGAAATATAAGAAAACAATATGCCCAAAGGAAGAGAAGCACAATGGAAAGAAAGCCAGAATAATAGTTCCTAATTTCATTTAGGATTATCAGGGGGAGGGTGGGTGCATACATTCATTACCTGAACAAAAAAAGTATTTGTCTTTTTTCTCCAATGTTAAGTGTTCTCAGTGTTAGTTCTACCTTTAATGGAACTTAGCTTCCTTGTTCAGTGCTTCACTTGCCCAGAAATAAATTTGAGTAACTTTTTTTTTCATAATTGTGAATATCACAGCATTTTCAGTCTTATTCAATGCAGTATTGCCCAACTTTATAAGCAAGCCCTTCTATGATATGACATGTTCCTCTCCAGTTCTTCAGAATTGCCTATTTGATCCCTGGTTTTCTTGCTTTTTTCTTCTGATTGGCAGAATTCAGACATGCCAACTTAGCGTGTATGTAAGGAGCCATCTTATTGGCCATATTTGTTTCCAGCTTGTCCAATCAACTACCTCATCTGTTCCAAGCTTAGCAAAGTCTCTGCTTTCAAAGTCTTCATTGTCAGTGATTTAATTATTGTCCTCTTCCTCTCTCCTCATCTTCAGGTTTTTCGCACCGACTTGATAACAGCAATGAAGATTCCAGATTCTTTCCAGCTGAGCCCAGATGAGTACTATATCCTTGCTGATCCCTGGAGGCAAGAGTGGGAGAAGGGTGTTCAAGTGCCAGCAAATACAGAAACAATTCCAGAACCAGAGGTTAGGTAAGTGAGGCTGATACCCTTTTCTCTTTCCTGAGTGAGATACATGTTAATGGTTGGGTTTGGCTTGGCTTTGTCTCTGGGGCACTGTATTGATTTCATTGTTTAGCACCTGTGTTTCACTGAGGGCTTTCCAAAAACATTAAGTAAGTCTGCTGATAATTAAAGGCAAAGAAACGATGCAGTGCGATACTTGAGGTTACTCGAAAAGAGGAATGCAGTACCACAGCTGTGCTGCAAGACTTCTAAGTGATTCGTCAGGGCAGTTTAGTACAGAACATGTTTCTCAATGGATTCTGGGTCTAAAATGCATAAGCAAAATAATAGGTAAAGGTTCTACCTGTATATTTGTATGTTTGATGAGAAATTCATTACTATTTTTATTAAACCTTTGGAGCATGCCATGTCTACCATGGATGATTTCTGTGGAAATATTTAACATTTAGGAACAAGGATTCTATAAGGACTCTATAATTTTGAAATTTTCTTCTTTGTCCTGGAAGGCATTGTTAGTGAAAGTCAAAGTGGTTGACTGTGCATGCTACAAAAAGCACGTAGAAGGAGCAGCTTTAGAATTTGCTTGATTACAGTGCTTCTCTTCTCTTCTGTTTATTGAATAGCTTGTTTCTTCCTTCAAGCTTCTGTGCACACCTGAAAATCTGCTGTTGCTTTAATAAATCAGATCATTACAACTGACTCTTTAGTGCAACTTTTAAAGCAGGGGCATCTGGTTTTAGGTTTGCATTGAAATCTGAAAAAGGAAGCAAAAAGATGCAGTACTTGTCCGTAGCATTTCTTCTGAGTCATTTTCAAAGTATGCATTATTTTAATATGAAACATGAACTGTAACTCTTAAATCACCAAAATTAACCAAATGAGAACTTACTAAAAGGTTAGGGAGGTTGGAAGGGAGATGAAAGGCATTCTGCCTCATTAGAACCTACTAGCTCTTCTTAAAAAAAAATTTTTTTTTCCTTGCCTTTTCTTGGCTTTAAAGGGAATTAGGAGACATATTGTTCTAGCTCTATTAACTTCTAGGACAGTGATGGTGAACCTTTTAGAGACTGAGTGCCCAAACTGCAACTCAAAACCCACTTATGCATCATCAGGTGCCGGGTGGGTGTGGCCATTGGCTGGGTGTGGCCCATTGGGTGGAACTAAAAAGTTCAATCAATCAATTCCAACTTTACAAGATCTCCCCCCCCCTGCAAGAAGTTGAAATTGACTGATTGATTTGACCTTTTTTTTTTTTTTGCACACAATGGCAGAGGCCTAAAGCGAAAAGGTTTTATAAAACCCAGCTGAAGACCTAGGACTGGGGCGCCGGCGTGTGTGCCCACAGAGAGGGCTCTGAGTGCCGCCTCTGGCACCCGTGCCATGGGTTTGCCACCACTGTTCTAGGAGGTGCTTGTGTATTTCCTTGCTAACCAGCTATAGATTGTTTCTCTAGCAGGTATATTTTGAACATGCTGGTGGGATTGGAGAGCAACTTTAAAAGGGTTAGTTGCTCTGTAGGAGTTGCTTTTAATGCTTATAATAATGTGAGTCCCAAGTCCTTTGTGTAAGGGGATGAATTTAGAATGTGTGGATAGGATAATCTTAGGTGAGAACTGATGTTCCTTACCATTGGTTCTGTTCTGATGAAAGATAAGACTGAACTGTGTGTTTTCCTTGAACACAAGGTCAAAGCTTGGATGGCTGGGTGATTCTCACTTGTATGTGCTGTTCCCATAGAGAATTGAATTTTAATTTTAACCAGGCAACTGAGTTATAGTCCCACCTTAGGCGTGAAAGCCAGCTGGATGATTTTGGACCAGTCGCTCTCTCTCAGCCCAATCCATCTTACTGTGTTGTTGGAGGGGGGATGTAGACTGGATATGGGGTAGTGGTGATGACAAAAGCTGTTTGACTGTCTTGATCAGATTGTCATCTGGTGAGTGTTGGTTTTGTGGTGGCATGCCTCTTCTGAAAGGATTGGGGGCCCACTAATGTGCTCCATCTTAAGACTTAGAGAAGCCAATGAATTCCTAAATCCTCCAGGAGAGTTTGCAAAAGCCAGAGCAAGAATCCTATCAAGGCTCTGATTGAAAATGGAATTATGAGAAAAAATATATGACATGATCAGCCTCAAATGTCTTCTCAGATTATATACCGTAGAACCACTATTTTTCCTGATTTTCTGAAACAGAGAATAACGGACCAGGCCAAGAGAAAGTTAAAATGACATACATCTACTAATTTGTGATGAGACTGCAAAAAAGTTTACTTTGTAATCTTCACTGCATCCTCAAATAGACATCCAGCAGAGCTCTTCAGAATAATTAAGGTCTTGGTATTTGCCCTTGATAATCCCAAAAGCCTACTATGACCAATTTGCAAGACATTTGGAAGATAAAATCATGTTCATGTCATCTTGTATTCTACTTTTGACATAGTATCTAGTGTATCATTTGGTCCAATTATGTCTCAGTGCTTTCAGTTTTGAAGGCCTGAGAATATGTACAAGATGCTTATAGCTGATCAGTCTGCACCTCTTGATCCCTTCCCCTCTTGAGTGCTAGAGCTAGCTGAGCTAAGTATATCTGTAAAGTGATTGAGCACATTTTTGAGGGGTAGCTTGTGTTACTAGCTCTTAAAGAGGTGGTAGTGCCCCTTTTTGAGGGACAAAACATGGGGCAAGGGGTTGGAGAGGGATAATACTGTGCATCTCATTTTGTTGAGAAAAAAACAATTATGTTGAATTTCAGTCTGGACTTGGACACGATTTTAAGCCTGAATTAGCCTTGGATGACCTGATGGATGATCTTCTATGAGAAAGAGATGACAGTGTGATTTTGTTGATCCTACAGTTTGTTTTTTTTTTTTTTTTTTTGTACTATTAACCATTGGTATTCTTCTCAATCAGCTCCATGAGATGGTTTTGGAAACATGCCAATTTGCAGAGACAGTATTAGAAAATAACATTATATGACAATACCTTAGAATCATGGCAGTTGATCAAGGTATAATTATATCCCAAATAATTCTTAACCATCTACATGAAACCAGTGGATGCAATCATCAGGAGAACCGTTTGGTCAATAATGACATTAGCAAGTTTGCCTTTTCCTAAAGAGGAATTGTGTGGCCACTGCTGTCAAAGCATTGGCTCACTGCATATTTGGATTATTCTAAAACTTGCAGTGAACACAGAATGCAGAGGTCGGGTTATTACATTGAGCATCTGGCTGGGCAATATGACCCCAGCATATTGTGGTATATTAATGTGCTTTTGGGCCACAGACAGGTTTTCTTATTCATGCATAAAGGTCTGGATGATTTTGATCTACGAGATTGACTTTCTGCTTATAAACTGCATAAACACTGAGATTGTCCAAGGAGATCATATTGCAAAGTTTCACAAAGTGTAGATTGTCACCTTAGAGTTACGCAGTCAGACCTTTCTGGGAGAGGATGCCTGCTCTGTGGAATGGTCCCCTCCAGTAGCATTCAATGGTCTTATTGTTGCATTGTTTAGGTACCATTGACTGATCTTTATACCCAGGTCTCTTGCATTAGGGACAAATTCTTTTTTTTGTACCTATTCATGTCTTTGATTGTTTAATTTGGTTTCTTTATTTAATGTTAAAGCATTTAAAATGTTATTTTATGAACAGCAGTATATACCGTATTTTCTGGCATATAAGACGACTTTCTAAAGTGCGGAAATCGGCGCCGAAGTTGGGGGTCGTCTTATACGCCGAGTCGTCTTATACGCCGGAAATTACGGTAGTTTCTGGCGGATAAGACTTTTTAGACACGGAAATCGGCGCCGAAGTTGGAGGTCATCTTATACACCAGGTCACCTTATACACCGGAAAATATGGTAAGTGTTTTAATCAGTAATAAAAACAAAGTAGCATTATTCACACATTTCTTGACCAAGCTATTTCCTACATATATCTTTTCTTTCAAAGTCCACTGAGAATAATTTTTTTCTAGTTTGAACCTGGTTAAGCAACATTTTGTTATACTAGGATAGGGATCTTCAAACTTGGCCCTTTAATGACTTGTGGACTTCAACTCCCAGCATGCCTAGCTGAGGAATTCTGGGAGTTGAAGTCCACAAGTCATAAAAGAGCCAAGTTTGAAGACTCCTGTATTAGGAACTTTGGGACCTTGGTTATTTGTGACAGTCTCTTTATGCACAACAGTGTATATTATTTATCGCTAATAAAAAGAGCATTTTAATAGTGTAATTATCCAGTTGCCATTCCCCCATTCCCCCATGTTTACAATATACAGAAAAGGAAGCTGTGCACTGACATAACAATATCTCTGTCTCTACTCCCCCCTCCCTTTTTTTGGGTAAAAGTCAGCTGTGATAAAATGTGTAAGAGAGTTGGGGAGGCTGCTTTACTTCAGAAATGTTAAGTGTCACTGTGAAGACTGATTAGATAGCATTCTTACTCAGTAAAAATAATGCTTTGACAGGAAATAGAATTTTAAACATGTTTAAGGTGTTTTTCAGATTTTATCCAGGAAATCTCTCCCTCCCCACAGGATTCAGCAAAGTCAATAATTGCCTGAAGCACTGCTTGCTCAGCAGTGACAGCAGCAACAGCTGTTGGTGAAGGAAAGTTATGAAATAAACTTTTGTGCTTTCTTCTCCTTTGATTAGTATGGGGGCAGGGAAGGAAGTCACCTTCAAAAACTAGAAAATTTTAATGAGAAATTGGAAAGGAAATTAGGCAGATTACATTTTAAACTTACTCAGTATTTTAACATGTTTGGTAGAGTGTCTTTACCAACTTTGATACATGCATACTTATTTGCAGCCTTGAATGTTCTGGTGTAAAGCTGAAGGTTGAATCTGGTGCTGGGTCAAGATGAAAAGTGATACCTTGGCACTGCCTGGGCCGGAGGTTCCTATTTAAAGCCAGGCTAAACAGATTCACATTTTTGCAAATGTACTTTGAGGCATGCAGTTGTTTAACAGGCTCAGCGCTTTCTCCCTGGTGGAA